AAAAAAAAAAAAAAAAAAAAAAAAAAGTGCAGTGGAGACATGCTGTCCCCTAGCCACCAGTTCTCTACTGCCCCCGCCCCCGCCACCCCTGTAATCAGTGTGATTCATTTTTGTGTCTTTTTGGAGATGCAGCAGTGGCTGTGGGTGCCCCTCCCTTTTCTAGGTCAACCAGCTACCAGCAGCTACAGGCTCACACCTGTACTCTCTTCAGGAAACAGCAGTGCACCCCTCCCACCCCCAGGCATGGATGGCCTGTATCAATGGAGTGGGTTCTAAGAGCCTAAGACCCCACCCCCAGGATCTGGGGGGGGGCCCTCAGGCACCCATGGAGCCACTCTGCCCAGTTTCTTGGCCACCTGTCTTGCGTGCCTCCTCCCACGTCCATTTCCCCTGAGAGCACTCGCCATGTCACCTGCCCTAAACAGATGATGCACACACCAGCAATGCCCCACTTACCTACCTAGGCTTCCCCACACCATCATCTCAGTTGGGTCTGCAGCACACACTGCTCTGTGCCTTGTTTCTGTTACTTAATCTATCTTGATCCTGTTTCCACATCTTACTTAAACAGATGCCTCTTTTTAAAATATTTTTTACAGCTATATAGTGTTCTATTATATCTACTGAATTTTTTAACCCATCCCCTTTGATAAACATTTAGGAGTTTCTAATCTTTCACCACTATAGACAATGCTGTAATGCAGAAGTATGTGTGGGACAAATTCCTAGAAATGAAAGGAATGTTGTGCATTTGTCATCAGGACAGATACTGTCCATCTGTCTTCCATAGAGAATATACTAATTTGTCCTTCAATGAGCAACTCAGAGAAATGCCTCCTCGTCACAGCTTCATCAGCAGTGTGCAATCACACTTAATGAGTCTTCATACAATTCACAGGTAAAACAATGGCATTACAGTGTAGTATTTGTATTTCTCTTATTATGCTGAAGTTGAGCATTTTGTAAATACTTAAGAGTTATTTTTATCTCTTTTTCTGTGGCCTGTAAGTTGGCGACCAATTTTCTTTTCTTTTTTTTTTTTAGTTGGAGTCTCACTCTGTTACCCAGGCTGGAGTGTAGTGGCACGCTCACAGCCATCCCAGCGTCGACCTGCTGGGCTCCTGCGGTCCTTCTGCCTCAGTCTTCCAAGTAGCCAGAACTACAGGCACACGCTACCATGCCCAGCTAATTTGTTATTTATTGTAGAGATGAGGTCTTACCAAGTTACCCAGACTGGTCTCAAACTCACGGGCTGAGGCAATCCACTCAACTCGGCCTCCCAAAGTGCTGGGAATATAGGCTGAGTCACCGAGCCCAGCTGGCACCCAATTTTCTCCTGGGTGGCTGAGTGTCTACTTATCACTCAGGAGTCTTCATATATTCAGGAAATTAGCTTTGTGTACATTATGTTTTATTTTATTTTTTTGAGTTGGAGTCTCACTGTCACCCAGACTGGAGTGCAGTGGCATGTTCCCGGCCAATGCAGCCTCGATCTGCTGGGCTCATGCGATCCTTCTGCCTAAGCCTTCCAAGTAGCAAGAACTACAGGCGTGTGCCACCATGCCAGGCTAATCCTCTCACCTCTGCCTCTCAAAGTGCTGGGATTGCAGACTTGGGCCACCACATCCGGCTAGATTTCTATTATAATGATTATCTAATAAAATAAAGGGATAATTGAAAACATTATCTATGCTACCATGCTTATTTAAAGTTCCAAATATAACTAAGACTTACTTACTTTTTTAGTTCTGGAATCTCTGCTGGCTTTACAATTTTTATTAACCCCTTCAGTCTCTGTTGTTCTTTCCTCAGTTCAAATGTTCTCAGGTGAAGTTTCTTCCGGGATACACCATCTAAAGCACTCCCTGATTTCATTTCTGACATGAATGCATCTAAGGAGTCCTGAGATGGCGACTCTGATAGAGCTGTCCAACAAAGGGATGATACATGTTATCAAAGATGGCAGCAAATACTTTCAAATTCAGTCAAAGTTTCCATAGAAAAGTCACTGATAGGTGGACAACTCCCTTATTGCTTGCTCCCTTGCAGCATACTCAATCAACCTGTTTTTCTTTAAAAAGAAAAAGAAAGGTCACTGACATAAAGCTGGACAGACAACATCACTGATAATAAGAACAAGGAAACAGGTTACAGCTGTGAGATGTTGAGAAGTCACTGGGCTGGGCTTCACTACCTTCAACTACTAAATAAAAAGGTTAGGCCAAATGATTTTTAATGTTCTTTCTGGATCTCAAATGCTATGATGCCAAAGTAGGGACCAAAGGGAGGCCCAAACCTTCCCTGTACGATGCCCACTTATATACCTAATTCTGAATTGTACCCCACGTCTTTAAAATAAAAAGTATATTTTTTTAAATGCTATGATGCTCCTTAGGAAGGCGCTATTCTGGATGCCATAGCTACCAAACAACGTAGCACCAGAGCCCAGCACAGTGCACTATATATAGCATATTAATTCATATCTCATAAAACACTCACCTTTGTTTGAGGCTTTCAGCCTCTCAGAAATTTCAGACAGCTCCTTTTCAGCATCATTTAATTTTGCCACCTAAAACACCCAAATCAACAGGTTAGCAAGTTTTCTTCTTTCAAACTGTTTCCCTACCACCATCCTCTTATTTTCACTATTGTTAAAAGTTTTTTTTGGTTTTTGGTTTTTTTTGAGTTGGAGTCTCACTCAGTCACCCACCCAGACTGGAGTGCAATGGCCGCTCCCGGCCACCGCAGCCTCGACCTGCTGGACTCTGGCGATCCTTCTGCCTCAG